TCACTTGCCCACAGTTATCTGGAAAGAGGCAGAACTAAGGCTTGAACACAGGTCTTTAAAGTTTATGTTTTTTGCAATCAACCTTTCCTTCCCCTTTTTCTGCAATCAAGGTTTTAAAAGTTCTAATTATTCTGTTTCTTATAGATTGATGTATTCTTGCCTTAAGGTGCTACTGTGAAATTTATGGATACCTAAAGAGGATGAAATTCTTCAGAGAGCTGTCCAGTAACTTACTGTCCCCTGCCTTGGGGACAGTTCAAGCTACTTGGGGAGGGAGGTGGGATTCAAGACTCTTTTATTATTCTTCTTTACCATCCAGAGTGTCTGTGTCCAAATCTATCCTATTCTTGAGTGAGGGTGAAGCGGGTCAAGTTGTAATTGATGATGGCCTAGAACTTGGCCTGGGGTCATTATTTCAAATCCCACTTGTTTATATCAGCAATGAATCTTGTCAGGACATGGTAGGGGGTTGTGTCTACAGGAAGCTCTGGAGCACAGTTCCCTTATCAAGATAACCTCATACTCATAGATGTAGCTGAAATATTTTGCAGAGAAAGCTGCCCAAAACTTTGGAAATAGTCACAGTAGTGGGCCATTTCAGCTCCTTTTCACTAACCTACAGAAGGTATTTGCTCATCTCTGGGACTCCATCTCCCCCAGGAGCCTTCCTAGGAATCCAGGTATAAGAGAGGTATAGACTATGGATAGAGACAAAAGGGACACACACGTAGCTAGGATTTAGGGGAGAGTTATAGTAAACAGAATGTATCTTGTCCATTGGAGTGAGATTTTTCAAAGCAAGACTAAGTTTTGTCATGATAAATCTTGAAGAGAGACAGAGAGGGTATTATGAAGCCCAGAAATTTCAGATCCACAAATACACAGAGCAGAAAAAGAAAATCTTTCAGATGGAAGAAGAGGGTATTCAAACTTGAGAGTGAGTGCTTTGTATTTGGGGCCCCAAAGGGATGGTAAAGTCTCAGTTTATGGGCCCCCAAGGCCTAAAAATTGCCTTCTGGAAACAATAGGAGTCAGTCATAAGCAATGGTAATAAATTATAATTAAATTGTTTGCCATTTGTGGCATTCCACAGTATAAATCTTCTTATATGCCATAGGGAATTTCCATGGACATGGTGAAAGAACCTGGTGATTACAGTTTGAGAGGTCAGTGTGGAAGTAGAAGACAGATTCAGCCATAGGCCATTGGGAAAGCAGAGCACTGACTTATAACCTTATTCATCCCTGATTCCTATTAGCATCTCCTAAAGCCCAAAATGAAAATGCACCTAGATATGCTTGCATTTTTGTTTTCACACAGCATCAACAGAGGACTCCAAACACCAATCCTCCACTTCCACATCCATCCCTAACCCGAGCAACCTCACAAAGATCCTCCTATGTAGGACATGTGTGGCTGTGTCATACACTGACTGTTGGAGGCTGAGATCAAGCTGGCTCCTCCCCTCTGGGTCACTACAAAAGAAGAAAAGTGGGCAAATGACTCAGGGCAGGAAATGGAGATACAAGCATCCATCAGAATCCATGCCTTTATTCAAGCCTCTCTTGTTCTAAAATCCTTTTCCTTTTTATTCTTTCCTTCCTTGCTTTTCTTTCCCTCCCTCTTTCTTCTTTCCCTCCTTGCTTCTCAATTGCGAGAGAAAGAGAGAGAAGAGAGAGAGAGAGAGAGAGAGAGAGAGAGAGAGAGAGAGAGAGAGAGAGAGAGAAAGCCTTTATCTCTTGGGTAGTTCCAAAAACCCCTGGAGCATCCCTACTCCCCAATCTTATTTAGCCCAGCAATGAACATTACAGTAGGAAATTTCTATGACTACCAAATGAAAATGTATTTGATAAAAATGTGTATGATACTAAATGAAAATGTGCTGATAAAAAAATTCTTCTAGGCAAATGACAGTGACTCAAGCTGCCCACCTCACAGGAATCCCTTTTTCCTCTACAGGAAGTTTTCATTATTAGATGACCATTTGAATGGCCCCTTAAAGGTCACAGGGTAGTTCCCCTCTACGCACGGAGAGTTCACTATGTCCCATGGAGTAATGGGAACTTGCCCCCAAGTTCCCATTTGGCCATTCTTGCTTTGAGTCTTTTAATCAATATGAATTCTTTGACCCAGCAGTGGTGTCACATGTGGAGTTTGCTGCCCTTGATGTTCCACATTCTGCCCACATAGTTCCTTAATAACATGAATCTTAGTTTAGCCCTCAGATTAGAACAAGGGGATGGCACAGGTCAAGGAAGAACCTCTTGGTGTATCCCCTTGCAGGAAAACTCTGAACTCAGAAACTGTCTTGTGTATGCTTAAAACCTGCAAAGTCTTAGTCTACTCTTTTTGCCTCAGTAGCTATCTGGTTAGTTGTCCCTTTATTCTCAATAGTATCCTAATTCATATAATAAATGATACAGCTACCTGACATCTAACTTGTGTTTGCTCAGTTTAAGCTAAGACAGAATGGAGAGGATGCCTGGAATTGGTCCAGAAGGATCCACTTAGATTCTAAACAAAGGCAGAGGTAGATGTAGAACAGATCAACTTTCCAGTGCCTGTGAATTGAGTGTTGGGAGTTGTGTTGTTTGGGAAAGACAAGGGAATATCTTTAAAATCTTGAAGAGAGGAGACTTTCTGGTGTCACCTAGGGTATTTGATGGAAACCAGATGGAGTTATTAATTCTTTTATCTCTGTTAAGTCCCCTTGAATGAGATGGTGAAATATATCTTCTAGAATCCTCCTCTAGAATCTCCTCCTCTAGAGAAGATTCTTTTGTTCTTCACCTTCACCTGCTGGCAAATTCTAGGGTACCAGCTAGTAACTCCTCCCAAGCCTCCCACCTAAGAATGTCTCTACTTTCTGCATCTACAAGATGACAACCACCAAACTGGCAGACCTATTTCTTTACTGCGAGTGATTGCACTTTCCCCCTCCACCCTGATCTAGGCCAATAGATACTGTACAAGCTCCTGTCCTCTGAACACCACAGTCCTAGTGCACTCTCTCTGATCCATACAGCACCCCATTATCTCTGAAGCATTTGATTGTCCCTTCATCTAATTATCTTCCCATCCCACCCTTGAGAGGAACCACTAGAATATGCCTACATCCTCCTCACAGGTCTAAACTATGGGAAGCATCTTTTTGTGAATGCTCTTCTGGGCCTAATGCCTATCCTCTTTGTTCTTAAGCATTTTAGCATTTTGCCATCATAAAAACAAACCAGCACATGACAAATAATAAAGCCAAAATCCATTTGCAGTTTGAGATCCTAGAGATAGTTACAATTAATGGAAGCTACCATAATATGATGGGCTCCCTGGGCTAACTTTTTCTTGGCCTCTGCAAGTAATCCATATGAAACCCCTCAACTCCAATTCCTGAACCCTTAGTGTTGTGGGATTAAGGTGCCCCCTCCCTCCGGCACAATTCATTCCCACTCAGAAGTACAGAATGTGACTTTATTTGGTAATAGGTTTTTGCAGATGTAATTGGCTAATATCTCTAGATGAAATCATTCTGGGTTTAGGGTGAAACCTAAATCACTATGACTTATGTCCTGTTAAAAGAAAAGGGAGGGAAATTTAGATGCAAACACGCAGAGAAGAATGCCAAGTGAAGGCAGAGGCAGAGACAGGAGAGATGTTGATACAAGGAAAGGAGTGTTGGGAGCCATCAGAAGAAGGAGAAGCAAGAAAGGATCCTCCCCTGTACTGTCAGAAAACATGACTCTTTTGGGACCTTGCTTTTGCATTTCTGGACTCCAGAACTGCAAGAGAATAAATTTCTATTTTTCTGAATCACTCAGTGGCACTTTGTTATGGCAATTTGTCACACAGTTTGTTTCAGCAGCCCTAGGAAACTGACACACTGAGTAATTACAGCATTAAGTGTGTTTCAGTGGGGCCTTTCCCAGAGCTTGGCAGCAGCCACGCTATAGTCGTGACAACACCATGAGCAAGGTCAGTATCTGGGGAAAGCTTCCAGAATCACTGTCTTTGGAAGAAAAAACATGCCTCAGTTTCACTGCTTCCCAAGCATTTGATATGTGAAATATAGTCTCTAAACACACAAACTAGGGAGATCAAAACTTGCTTTTAGGATTGTTGTGGGAATCATATGGAACAATGTGTGTGTCAGTGTCCAGTTTGAGACCTGGAGTGGGTGAGCTGACTTTTAGGAAGGGCTCCTTCATCTTCCTTATCCTTTCCTTGCTTTCAGACTTTGATCTCACCCCTGACACTAAGCCTCAATTAACTTAGACTTGACCTTCTCACAGTCCTGTGCCTTCTTTTCTCTAATTATATTCCTCCCCTCACCTAGTACAGTGATGTACCACCGTGGATAAAGCTGTGTGCAGTGTGTACTCTTCTAAGGTAACCTTCTTCCCGACCCTTAAGGTGGTCTGTTTTCTATCTATGAGGCAAAAGAACTTGTTTCTACCACTCTACACATACCATCTCGGCCCCCCATCAAGCCCTCACCCAGGGCCTGGCCCATGTACCCCGCTCCTGAGAGACCACTCATTCCCACAGTTCACATATCACTCTACTCCACTCAGTGTCTTATCTAGGATTCCAACCTAGAAACGCAGAAAAGCACAAATCTTAAGCCCAAATCCCGAAACAAGATAAGCTGGCGGTATTAAGGACAGACACGGAAAAAAGCTAAAGGTGTAACAAATGACCCTTGAATCTGGAATTGAGAAGTGGCCAGGCATTTTTTCCCATGGGTCTGTCTGGCATCTGTTCTATGCCGGGCAGGGTTATGGTTCACAGTTCTTGTCCTCCTGGTTTAGACTAACTGTGCACTGGGGACCTGGAATGGCTGTTAAGACCTTTCACTTTGAGGCCTTCCATTAGAATTAACAGAAGGGAGAAGCATTGGTCTGAGAGGAGCTGGATTAGATTCTCTGTATGCCTGAGGAGATGGTGTTTTCCCATATAAGAAGGAGGTCAGTGACAAGCAGGACACCAAAAATACCATTGAAATATAACCAGGTTTTACTCGCCATTTTCAGTGGTTTATTCTTTCAGATTCAAGATGGGAGCTCAGTCTATGTGAAACAGTGAGGGAGGATGGATAACCATGTAGGAAGGGGATGAGAGGTGAAGAAAGAATAACTCCTTAGGAACATGGATTGGAGCAGGTACAGAAGAATCCAGAGTGAGGATGAAGAAGGACTCAGGACATAGCTGGAGCTGGCCTCAGGAATTCTTTTTCTTGACCTGAGGAAGAGAGCACACTGTTAATGTTCCAGAGGCTGTGGAGTAGTAGAAGTGGGGTAGACAGTGAAGATGCTGGTTTTTAAGGAAGGTTCATTGGTTCTCCCCATTCACCAGTGGTGCATTCTGTAATGTTTCTTGTATTTTTCTCCCCATCCTGGGGTCCTTATGTACTCATTGAGATAACAGGATATATCAGCACTGGGGCTGGCTCTGAGATCTCCTTATATATCATAAACAAATTTCCATACCCTCCTTTCATTTACCTGCCCCATCTTACCCTCCTCCTTACCATGGCCATCAGCACAAGGGAGCTGACCAGCACAGCATACAGGGTAGCCTTTCCCAGCAGTATCTCATAGAGGATGGTGGCAGACAGGACCCCTTGCTGATAGGATGCTGTTGGTGGGAAGAGAGAGCAGATAGATGCCTGTGAGCCAAACCTCACCAGCAGTGTCCCCACATTCTTTGTGCCCCTGGTTCCAGAGCCAAGAACATAGAAGATGAAAAGGAGAAACTCACTCACCCGAAGTGAAGCCACAGTCTGAAATAAAAGACAGGGAGAAAATGGGTAAGAGAGTGCCATTTTTTCAGGATACTGAGCCTTAAGTCATAGACTTTAAAGTCTGATTTATAGGCCACAAACACATGCACACCAGACGGTGCAGTCAGCATACTTAGAAAGCTCTGGCACTGTCTTCATCACGCTGCTCCAGTGCAGGGACAATGTCACTAGGAACATACAACTAGGACCAGTGATGGAATTGGGGAGACAGAGGTATTGAACTGAGCAGCCAGTCACGAGCAGACCCATTAGTACAGCACACAACGGGGCCAGAGCTGCCCTGGTCAGCTCCTGTGCTTCCAGGGAGGATGTGCATGTTATGGTGTGCTGACACTGTTGCCTTAATCATCCCCCTTTCCACCCACACTGGCTTTCTTCTGGGTCTACTCTTGATTTCTACCTGGATATTTCTGCTTTCCTCTGGCACTGGTCCTGCTCCATATCCTCCCTGGCTCCCCAGGCCCCACTCACCTGCTCTGCTCTGGGTCTCAGCACTGATGTTCTGGGTGACAGGTTTGGCCCGATTCTGGGTCCACTCGTCTTCCTCTGTGAGCCCATAGAACTGGACTTGGCAGCGGAAGTGGTTGCGGGGATTGTGCCAGAAGGCAGCTGAAACCCTCAGGCGGCTGCTCAGGCAGTAGGTGGAGTTCTTGTCATTGGGCCGCTCCAGGTAGGGCTGAGCATCTGTGCTGACCCCATTGTGGACCTCCTTGCCATTCACCCACCAGCTTAACTCCACATGGTCGGGATAGAAGCCTGTGGCCAGGCACACGAGCGTGGCTTTATTTTTCCGGGAGATCTCTGCTTCTGATGGCTCAAACACAGTGACCGTCGGTGGGGTCACCCTGCTCAGGTTCTCTGGAAAGTGAAGAGGGATGGTAGCATGGCTGATCTGAAAGTTGAGTAGGCCTGGTAGTGTGTGTGTGTGTGTATGTGTGGTAGTGAGAGAAAGAGGGCTGAGGGCCAAAGGGAGTCATAATAAAGTGAATCATGTTGTAGTAGACACTGGTTGCTATGGACAGGTACTGTCCACTGTCCCTCTGCTCCCCCTAGGGTTGCATTGTGAATGGACTTCCTAACACCCTTGGTGGTATCCCTTCATTGTCATTATCCTTCATCAATGCTTACCTGTCTACTTCTCAGCACTGTACATAATAGTTGCTTAAATAGAGCCCTCCATAAAAATTGGAATAATAGGATAGAAATCCTAGCTCTAACTTTGCCCATCAATGTCAATTTGGGACAGTTTCTTTACTGTCTGAATTATTTTTTCTTCTTGTGAAGTGAGAATTACAACACTGACTTTCCAGAACAGGTGTGAAGATTAAGTGATGGAAGGATTCAGAACATCCCATCATAAACCAGTTTATTTGTATCTGAAGCCAGAGAGCAGAGGATAAAGGGGAATTTAGGACAAGAGAGACACTTGAGGGGAGGGGATCTTCTTTACACGTACACAGATGACCTATTTTTATGCAGTCACATGAGGACATTCTTCTGGGCTACAATGTGTTCAGGAAAATGTGAGGTTTCTGATATTTTGTGGTGCAAAATTACCCTACAATTTCTCTGCCCGAAATGCCACCTGAGTTTCCTTTCTGTGCTTTTCTTATCCTTGATTTCACACCCCCCCCCAAGAAATTCTGTTGAAATGAAGAGATGTGTTTTATATAGAACCTAATTACAGCCTACTGGACTAGAGAAAATTTATTCTGACGCTTCCTCATATTTGTATGGATATGACCTCTTTCCAGGACCTATGCCATGAATATGCAACCTGCATACTTGCTGTACAGGACCAAAGGCTTAAGGAAGGCCAGTGCATGGTTTCGTGGTCCACTGCCACTCTTTTGAAATTCTAAAGGATTTTTTTTTAGCAAGGCCCCCAGCAGATATTTTCATTTCAATCTGGGCCTGAAAGTTTCAGAACTGGCCCTGCCTCCATCTTGTTAACTTCCCCTACTCCCAACTCTAATCTGGTTCATTAATGGTGCTTCTAGTTCTTAATGAACTTGAGCTGAAATGGTAATGTCCTCACTTCTATCTGTACAACTTGGCTCCACACACTTTTCTACTCTCAGCGTGTATGTTTTCACTCTGTCTTAAAGATCTTGGCTCTGGGATATTCTCCCAGCCCTCCCGAGGCAGTATGGAGTGAACTTCTCTTATTCCTCACTCAGCAAATACACAGTACTTATTATAAAAATTAAAGGCAGTATTAAAGTGATATTTATTGATGCTGTGGGCAAGACAAACACAAGCAGAACCTTGCTTGTACCCCAAATCACTGTCCATATAACTCCACAGCAAGGTTGGGTTAGCTATGCTTCCATGTATGTTAGTCCCTGCAGCATGTGTGCTTGTGTGTGTGTGTGTGTGTGTGTGTGTGTGTGTGGTGGGGGTGGTGGCTTGCCTGTGTGGATGTAAATGTGTGCACTAGTGAGCTGCTGCTGTTGGTAGGTGTTGTGTTGTACGTTAGACTAGCCTCAGGTAAAATTGTGAAGTTTCTCTTTCTTCTTCCAAACTCACCTCTCACATGCACACAGCCCTTTATTCCATTTCTGTTCCATAAAAACTGAGGTTCACATATTAACTTACCTATGGCCACTCAATCACCTAAGAGCCAGGATTAGAGCCCAGTTGCATCTAGTTCTAAATCCTCGGTCTTTTCCCACCCCAGCTGACCACAGGAACCCAGAGTTTACTCTGGTCATCTTAGATGTGGCTGAACCCCATTGGATCTAGCTTAACAACAGTTCAACCACAAATGATTTCTATTTTTGTGGTTATAAAAGAATCCAGGTTAACATGGAGATTGAATTATTTCTGCTCTCTGGTTCAAGGTTCCCATCATCAGGTCCCTTCCTGAGCTGTCACCCAAGGGATTTTACTCATATTCCAGACAAAGTATCTGCATTGTAACATGTGTCTGTGGCAAATGAACTCCCTGCCTGGCCTCTGCTGTCTCACCTGGAATATTTAGTGTGAGTGATAGAGATTTCAGGGTATCAGGGAAAGGAGATTCCTCTAGGGAGTAAATGCACCCCAGTGACTGAGGTTAAGCCTGGCCCTGAGGCTATCCCCTTTTTGTTGACCGGCCATGGACAACTGTGGATGCTGCTTCAAGGGTCCCAAGCTTAGTAGGAAACTGGTGAAGTTTTAATCTAATTTTAAGTCAACAGACTTGTTTTGATTCTTCTTTGCTGACAAATGTTTGTCTTGTTGGCTTTCAGTTCCACTCTGTGTGGTAGCCTTTTTTCTTCTCTGTCCAACTGACCCTGGTCTGAGTAACTTTTGCCCCCTGAGGTAGCCATTGTTCCCTGCCCACCCAGCTCTCTTTGCCTCTTAATGTAGCAGGTGACAGTCTACCTTTTCCCAAACCAGTTTTGCCCTTCTGTCCTTTTATCTAGGCTAGTGTCTCCTGGAGTCCCAATAATCCCTGCCCTTCACTGCTCATTCTCTGAGCAAATATCCCAGGATGTGAGGGTGGAAGCCAACTTGTCCTCTGCCCCAGGGCCATATCCGGTCCTGAATACCCTTCTCCTGTGTCCCACCCAGTCCTTCAAGAAGCCAGGAAGCGGGAAGGGAAGTTGAAGGTGCAGAGCTGACCGCAGATTGCCAGATCCCCGCGGGTTCCAAGCTCGGGTCTACCCCACACCCCTCCAGGGACCCAAGGGCAGGGATTGGAAGGTGAAGAGACACCTATGCCCATAAACCTGGTGCCGGGACCCAAATCATGCGCTTAGGAACACAGAGGCTACAGCTCATGGAAACACTTCCCACGCACAGAGGGAAGCGCGGGTCTCTGAGCTCCAGGACCCGCAGGCTCAAGCGCAGGGCCCTCAACTAGGTGTGGAGAAGCGGGAAGACCGCCCCCCACTCCCCACCCCGGCCGCGCGGTCCCTTCTGATCCCGCAGCCTGGGGTGCTTGTCCCCAGGAGACTCACCCAGCACGGTCAACCGGCTACCGGCCCCGAAAGTCAGGACAGCAGATGCAGAACACAGCCCAGGGGCTCCCCACAAAAACCGGATCCAAGCGACCCGCCCGCACTGCAGCCCCCGCCCGCCGCAGCCCGCGCGCGGGGCCCGAACTCACCTAGCACCAGGAGCCGCGTGCCTGGCCCGAAGTACTGGGTCTCCTGGTTCACGGCCCCTGAGTCCCACACAAAAACCCGCGCCGCGGACCCGCCCCTGTCCCCTGCGGTCCCGACTTACCTAGCACCGTCAGCCGGGTGCCGGCCCCGAAGTACTGAGTGTTTTGGCCCACAGCCCCGGGGCGCGACTCAAAAACAGGCCCAGTCATCTCCACCCGGCATCCCGGAGCGCCCCCACTCCTCTCCCCTGATCTCCAGTGCGCTCAGCTTACCCAGCACTGTAAGCCGCGTTCCTGGGCCGAAATACTGCGTGTCTGTGCTCACAGCCACCAGGTCCAGGACAAAAACCAGTGCTGCCCATTCCTTTTGTCCCAGACCCAACCCTAATTCCCACCAACACTGAGCGCTCTCCCAACACCTAGACCAGGAGTCCTGCCCAAGCAAGGAGCAGCGCCTCTCTGCACAGTCTCAAAGGTTGCTGAGCATCTGTCAATCTCTTAATCACCCTTAGCTTACCCAGTACGGTCAGCTTGGAGCCATCTCCAAAGGACAGCTGCCCTGTGTTCACACAGCCCTGGGGATCCTGGCGTAAACCCTCCTGTCTCCACTGATAAAGGGCCCTGGATGGCCCAGCCTCACTTCCCTTAGGTCCTGGTTCAGGGGGGTCGTCCAGGCTGAGTAGTCTACCTTCCCAGGAGCCAACTTCTTACCTAGCACTGTGAGCCGGGTCCCTGGTCCAAAGTACTGCTCAGCATAGGAGCACAGTGGGAAGGGACCGCCAAGAATTCCTCCTCCTTCCCCTCCTACCTGAGCACAGACTGAATGGTCACCTGCCCTCACCTTCCTGGGTTTTTCCTCTTCCCACCTCCAAAACTAGCTGGATTAGTAATCTGGACATTGCATGAGGTCACCACCCCCCACCCCAATTTGCACAGGACAGTCAACTTTGTGGGTAATACATTGAACTTGAAATCTGAAGGGTGGTAGTCAGCCTGCAGGTGGGAAGTGTTGCAAGGTAACCCCTGCCTCTTACTACTTATGCAACCTGTAACCTCTCTGTCCTCAGTTTCTTCACCTGAAAAATGGGGTAATTCCTTTCCCCCCAAGTTTTTTTTTTTAATGAGTTCTTAATATGTGGTTCATCCACAAGTACTTTGTCAAGGTCAGGCTTTATGAAAAGGACTAAACAGTGATTCCGTTTTGCTGCTCTGGCCTTCACATTCCTGGGAAGCTATCTGGAGCAGGGAGATGCACAGATATTCACAGAGTGCAGTCCCCTGTAAAACCACTGGCAGGAACCATCTCCACAGACCTCTCACCATCTTGTAACCCCATTCCCAGCACTGGGAGGGGATATTTTCTGAGGCAAAGCTTTTTGTAAAAGTACCACTTCTACTTGAATCACCGTGCTCCCCCCAGTCCCCACAATGTTACACCATGATGCAAAAATGTTTCCTTTCCAATAGTCCCCCTGCCCCCACCCCTGCTCAGGGGCAGGAAACACAGGTGGCAGAGGTTAGTCTGACTGAGTGGGGCTAGGGAAAGACAAAAGAAGGGTAAATTTAAAGTAGGGAGGAGCTTGGGGAAGGTCGCGGTGCTAGTGGTGGCAGTGGTGAAGGGGGAAAGGGAACCCCTTTCTGGAACATGCACCACACGGAAGAGACCATCTGTGTCACTAGGTCTCCCCTCTGGGACTCATTATGCCCACCTGCTCAGATTTGCATTTATAGGGAGGTAAATGGGAGGAGCTAGGGGTGAAAGGGCAACTTCAACAGGGTAATCCTAGGACAAGGGATGACAATTGATGGCACAGGGACGAATAAGCCAAAACTGCAATCATTCCCCATTGCTTCCTGTATAAAGTTCAAATCCTTACTCACTTACTCCACAAGTATTTGGTGAATAATTACAATGTGCCAGGCCACAGGCTGGATGCAAGGAGATGAGTCCATTCTCACAGTGGCAGATGTGGACCTGATTTTTAAGCCCTTTGATTACTCCTATCTCTGAACCTTGCACCCATCTAAATGCATGCACCTAGAAGAACCTGACCATGGTGTTTGGACTTTTGCTCATTCCTCTGGCTGGTATGACCACCCTCTAGAATGGACAACCAAGACCAAGTCTTCCTGGGAAGAGTTTGCTACCTCCTCAGACTCTTCCCTGATTATTCCAGATATACACTGAGCACCAGCCACTGAGTATATTTTAGTAGAGAGCTGGCATTGCTAATCAAAGCATTGCCTTGTATTTCAGCTCTTTCTTCTCAAGACTTTGCTCCCTTTATGAATAAACAAGTTTCTTGGGGACTGTGATATGGATATCTTTATGGAGGTCAATAGCAACACACTGCAAATATTTGTGTTCAATAAGTGGGTAAGTATAGGTATGTTTGTATGAATATATGTATGTATGTACATAAATGTATGTTTGCACAGACACACATTTGAAATCACATATGTGTTGCAATACAGAGGGAAGGATGGGTTGTATAACCCTAAAAGTGGAAGGGTAGATAGCTGTATCAGGAAAGCCTTACAAAGATGACTGTTTCTGAATTGGTTTACTTTGGGTTCATTCTTTTATTGGTTGATTTATTCAAAAATAGCTATCTGATTTCTACCCTGAACCAGGGTATCATTCTGTATTTCAGGGATACTATCACAAAACTCATTCTTGTCATTAAGGACTCACAGTCACATGGAGGTGTCAGACAAGAGATAGTTTCGACCAAGTGTGATAAGGGTTTTGGGGGAGGTTGGCACAGGTCCCAGATAGCAAAATACAGAGTGCATGTGATCCAGTCTTGGGAGTAAGAGCTGAGGATGAGGCAATAAAGGTCTAGAGAAAGATTTTAGAAGGAAAGACACTAATGACAAATCTTTAAGGTCAAGTAGGGGCTACCAAGAGAAGAAAGGCACTGTGTTGCTCCAAACAGCGCAGGCAGGAGCAGCCTATGCAGAGTGACCCGAAAGCAAGAAGCTTGGAGTTTAGTGACGAAAGGATCAGGATAAGTGTGGGAATAATGAGGTAGAGTTCATTAGCAGGACTTCATGCCATCCTAAGGAGGGGTACTATGTCACCATGGTGACAATGACACAACTGAGAGCTTCTGAAAGACTTCTAGAAGTGGAAATAGAGTTGATTCTTGGTTTTAGTGAACTTTATTTTCTATGCTTCCAGAAGTTGACAGGAGACATTTTGACACCCATCTAATTCACTAGAGAGAGAGACTTATCAATAGATTTGTAACTTGAACTGGAGTACATTTCTTCTATTGAAAATAAGTTTCCAAGTCAGGGCATGCACCTGGGAATCCTATCTGGTGAATAAATGGAGACAAGAATTCAGTGAGGTGGCTGAAAAGGAAGTTGGATAACATATAGGGAACCAAGCCTTGTCTGCTATGGGGAAGTGAGCAGTTGGCAGGCAGATAGGTTTGTGTAAGACTTCTCTTCCTCACAGCAGCTTTGTCCAGGGCAGGACAGAAAATTCCTGTACTTAGCACCACTGTCTTTTTGTTCTGGGATGAACCTCTTCAACTCCCATCAATGACTTCTACATTTAAATAGCCTCTCCTGCCGATCTTCACATGGGCCCTCACTTTTCTTACCTGAGGGAGCTTCAATTCCTTTGAATAACTTTTGTTTCTTTCCTGACTGAACATAGAGCACCACAAAGAGTTTAGAGATAGACCAGTGATATTTAGACACCCAAGTCAGAGTCAGGCAAGACCAAGACATTTTTAATGGTTCAGGTACTAGGCATGATAGACTTCCTTTAGGGTTAGGGAGATTTCATCTATGGGTGGGCAGGTGAACAAGTACTAAGGGTAAGTACAGAGATGAGAACAGGCCTTCAGAAGCACAGAAAAAGAAGAATCCATATTGACTACAATGGATTGGAGGCTCCTGGCTCCACCTCCACGGCTGACTTCAGGAATTATTTTTCTTGACCTGCAAAAGAGAAGGATTTTGGGGTTACCAAGAGCCATGAGTGACAGGGATTGAGAGGAAGGAGAACCCGTTGTCCAGACAAACAGTATGGCTCCTCACAAAATCTACTGGGTTTTTGGTGACCGCAGACTCGCCTTAGCCTGACATTTCCTCTGTAATTCTCAGGAGGTACAGCTTGTCTTTTGTGACATAAGAGTAAAACTCCCTTTTTTTCTACTGCCCACCTCTGGTCCTAGAGAAGGGCTTTAAACTCCTGACTCTGAGTCATTGGTTGTCATGTGTCACCTTCAATCTGCCTGTCCTTACCATGGCCATCAGCACAAGGGCACTGACCAGCACAGCATACAGTGTAGCTTTCCCCAGCAGGATCTCATAAAGGATAGTGGCAGACAGGACCCCTTGCTGATAGGATGCTGTTGGTGGAAAGAGAGAGCAGATAGATACCCATGAGCAGGTAGCTCTGGCCTCCACCACCCACCAGTGTCCGTGGTTCTCTGTGACCAGGTTTCATCTCCACAGGAGATGGAAAGAAAGGCAGAAACTCACTTACCTGAGGTGAAGCCACAGTCTGAAAGAAAAGAGGGGGAGAATAATGAGTAAGAGAACTCATCTTCTTAAATAAATTGAAATTGAATCAGTGACAAGGTTAGCACAGGCTGCCAGGCCCAGACTAGCTTCCTCTGAAGATCTGGGGCAGAGCAAGTAGAGTACCATCTTTCCTCTATAGTGTCAATGTCAGAGGTCATCCTGGAGACTCATGGCAAGTCAGCACCAAAGGGGATGAGGAAGGCTACTCAGATGCTGAAATGCAAAGTCCATGTAGAAAGGAGCCCCTAGTTGCAAGGCTGCTGGGCTGAGGATATGAGGGGAGAAATTAGCTGTAGGTTCCCAATGCACCTCATAGTGGGCTTTTGTTACTTCCCTCCTTCTTTCTATATCTAAGGTTTCTGACTTTCTTCCCCTCTAGTGCTGTTCCTACTTAGTCTCTTCTCTGTCTTCCCAGGCCCCACTCACCTGCTCTGCCCTGGGTCTCAGCACTGATGTTCTGGGTGACAGGTTTGGCCCGATTCTGGGTCCACTCGTCTTCCTCTGTGAGCCCATAGAACTGGACTTGGCAGCGGAAGTGGTTGCGGGGATTGTGCCAGAAGGCAGCTGAAACCCTCAGGCGGCTGCTCAGGCAGTAGGTGGAGTTCTTGTCATTGGGCCGCTCCAGGTAGGGCTGAGCATCTGTGCTGACCCCATTGTGGACCTCCTTGCCATTCACCCACCAGCTTAGCTCCACATGGTCGGGATAGAAGCCTGTGGCCAGGCACACGAGCGTGGCTTTATTTTTCCGGGAGATCTCTGCTTCTGATGGCTCAAACACAGTGACTGTGGGTGGGGTCACCCTGCTCAGGTTCTCTGGAAAATGAAGGAAGGTGGGGGCAGGATTGCTTTGAGAGCTGTCTCAGCCTGGTAGAGGTCATGGTGTGTGTGTGTGTGTGTGTGTGTGTGTGTGTGTGCTTGCACCCTGGAAAAGTTCATCATAAAACAACACTGTGTCATGGTAGGCCCTATTCATTTTGGGTCATGTCCAGGTCCCTCAACTTTGCCACTTCTCTCTGAGTTACCCCATAGGTACCCCCTGCCCTCTATCTCCTGCATTTCTGTAAAGTGGAATTATGTTCTGATCTCAGCTTTTTTTGCAATGTCTCATACCCTGGTATCTATTTGATTATCTATCAAAACAGCATTGCTCAAAGTCATGCTCCGTACATGGTTATCTAATCTTTATGACTTAGAAGCAGTCCTGATTGGAGTGAGCCCAGATCTTGACATAGAAGATTCTTATCAGCAGCATGATTACAAGAACCAACTTTTTCTAATTAACATTTTCCTTTTTATGTGAGGTGTATGGGAAGGTCTGTTTGGGTGATACCTCATACTAGAATTAGTCTTTCTTGCCTAAAAGAGACATTTTCCCCATTATATTGACTATATTTCTGAATACCATGCCCAACTCTTTGTTTTTCTCATGTAACCAGCTTTGAGGCACCAGCTTGCTTCTGGCTGATAGCCTATCTGATGTTCCACACTTACTCCTACACTGGAGAACAGGGGCTGCAGTAACTTGCTGAGGATGGATATATGCCTGTGGTATATAATGCTTATGGATTAAAACCTTTCTCTCCCCACCCCCCACCAGTGCTCAGAAAGATTTTGTCAGGTTTAGAATCCTAATTACCAGCCAAACTTTGCATTCTTAAAAGTAGTCAGCTTGATTGCTGGTATAAACAAATCACAAAATCCAAGGGCCATTTTCAGTAAAAGGTTCACTTTGGTAAGTCCTGGGAACTTTCACATGTTTCACAGAAGGGAGGGAAATAATTTCTGAGATTATTGGAAGGAATGACCTCATCTGAAAACAGATGAGGAATCACAGCCATCCTTTAAGTACCCTTCTTTTTGCCAATGTTTGCCTCTGCTCTGACCATAAGGGTGAGCTTTGGCAGCAGAAATGTGCCCAGCCCTGGTATTTCCCCTCTGTCCAAAGTTGGCAAATGGTTCCAATGGGAAAATATAGACAAATATTTGGAAATGAACAAAACCCTGCACAGTATGATAAAAAGCAGAAATAAAAATGGTTACATGTCAGGTTTAGAATCCTAATTACCAGCCAAACTTTGCATTCTTAAAAGTAGTCAGCTTGATTGCTGGTATAAACAAATCACAAAATCCAAGGGCCTTTTCAGTAAAAGGTTCACTTTGGTAAGTCCTGGGAACTTTCACATGTTTCACAGAAGGGAGGGAAATAATTTCTGAGATTATTGGAAGGAATGACCTCATCTGAAAACAGATGAGGAATCACAGCCATCCTTTAAGTACCCTTCTTTTTGCCAATGTTTGCCTCTGCTCTGACCATAAGGGTGAGCTTTGGCAGCAGAAATGTGCCCAGCCCTGGTATTTCCCCTCTGTCCAAAGTTGGCAAATGGTTCCAATGGGAAAATATAGACAAATATTTGGAAAATGACAAACCCTGCCACAAGGATGATAAAAAGCAGAAATAAAAATGGTTACATTAATTTGAATTCTTTACAAACGATTTTCATATAAGGTAGTCCCTCCCATTTTATGTGTCTTAGAGAGCCAGAGACAGTTTAAGTCATTTTTCAAATTGCATTAACTTCACCCTTGCTGTGCCCCAGTGTCACCTATTGAACCCAGGCTTTTGAAGACAGTGATTAGCATTTTCCATTATTCTCTTTGGCATGTGCCCCTACCTAGTAGTACCTAGATATCCCATTCTCTAACCTTGTCTATATTTCCAGCCTATTCCCCATCCCATCCCAAACCCATTTCAACTACCTGTCTGCTTCTTCCCAAGTGTGGTAATGACTATATTAGGGTCTCACAGAAGGCTTCTTGCCTTATAATCTAGCATAGATGTTGAGATTTGAGAAAATGGGGTCACCTACCTTTTTTCTCTCTTTTATACCTAATCTGTTGTTCAGACAGTGCAACTTTTCAGTTATAAGTTTTTTCAGTCCTGTATCCCTGATACCTGCTGAGCACAGTGTACCCCAGACTCTGCAGTTGCAATTTCTGTGATCTGTGACATGAACTTGTTCCTTCTGTTTCAGGAGCAGCCCTCAAGCTACCTAGCTCATTAGCCTGGTCTCCACTTCCTCCTGGTCCTTTCAACCTCCCCAGGAAAACAAACATAGGTCTGCAGAGAATGGGAGAGACTGAGAGAAGGAGGAAGATAAGGACAAGACCAGAGATCTGTGCTGGAAGTAAATGTTGGAGGATTTTAACACAGAAGTCAGAGTTATTCATCAAAATGGGGTCAACATCACAGAAGGGGAGTGAGACTGGGACAGAAAAAAATGGAGAAGAGGTGATAAAAAGAAAACACAAGACAGCAGAGGTGAGCGGAGTTACAGAGAATAGTGAAAAGAAAAACAAGAAAATGAAGACTCCTGAAGACTTAGCATGGAGCACTGCAGCTGAAGAGCTGCAACAATCACAGCAGAACAACAAGCAAGACAGACTCCAGAGAAGGTAGGAGAGGGCACAGGGCACCAGGTGGGAAAGGGTAACTCTGATGGCCAACCCAATTCCCTTCCCAGACCACTCTAGTCAAGTACAGACATCCCCAGTTAGGAATGAAGCCTCCATACCTGTCACAGTGAGCCTGGTGCCGTCACCAAAGTAGAGGGGTGAATTATAGGAGCACAGTTGCAGGTGGTTTGATTAAAACCTATCCCGGGTCCCCAGCCAGAGGGATGGCCTTAGCTCCTTGATTTTTAGAAGGCCTTTTCCCTCTGCCTAGACATGGTTTTGGACTAAAGAAATTCTCTCAGGAAAATTCTATCAGGAGGAGGGCAGGAGGATTCAGCATAGCAGGGATAGATCCATGCACATAAAAAGGAAGGCTAAACCAGGAAAGCAGGAGGAAGGCAGATTCTAGACTGAAGACTTAGGCAAGCGAAACAGAGGGCAGACTGAGTACTCCAAAGGAAGGGAGCTCAGCCCCTCAACCCCGCATCAGTAGAGAAGTAAGTGAGCTCCTCAACCCCTTCCATCAGTGCTGGAAGAGCTGAGACTCTGGCTCCAAGGGACATGGTCCCACTATCCCTGGTCCCTCAACTTACCTAGGACAGACAGTCTAGTCCCTTCTCCAAAATGCTGTGCCTGATTGTTACACAGTACTACACGAGGGTAGCAAATCCCAGAGCAGCTGCTGGGCCCTTCTTTCCAGAAGCTGCTCCACATAGAACACCCCTGGGACTCTGGTACACACTCTACCCTCCCACCCTCTTTGAGCCACAGCCTCTCAGTCCCTACCTCTTCAGGGAGTTCTCCTGCACCTCCAACCTCACAATATACTGTCCGAAAGAAATCTTTTACATACCCAAGACAGACAGCTTGGTTCCACTGCCGAAAAATAACTTTTCATTAGTTACACAACATTAAAACATGGCAGGAAAACCTCCTCCTGCTGCCTTCTACTCCTTCTTCCTCACACTCACCTGCCAGCCCTCCTCCCTCATTCCTTAGGAGAATTTTTTTCTCTGCAGAGTGGAGGGATAGACAACTATGCAATCTGAAATACTGTAGTCAGAAAACCATTTGCCCTGTGGGATTCTCCTGCTCTCCTTTGTCTGCCTCCTATCTGTGTAAAAGAAATAGCAGGAATGTGACCTCTGTAAGGCCAGAGGTTCTTTCATCTATCATGGTCAGGGCAGTCAACCCTGCCATCCCCAAGGTGATAGGAGAAGGACGTAGTGACTCCTTCCCAGTTGAGCCTACCTCCTGGTAGGGTGCTCAGGGTTGGCATAGCCAGTCCATGAAATATTGGACATGGAGACTTCTCTCCTTGTATACATCAAGACAAAAAATTGAATCTTCTTGATAAAAATGTAGTTTAACTTCAGCACCAAAGATGGAGGCTCCCTTTGGATCCCAGCTCTCCAGCACTGGCTTACTTACCTACAATAATGAGCTGACTTCCCTCTCCAAAATGAAGGGTGTTTCCAAAGCACAGCCTTCTAGATCCACTTCAAAATCTCCTATTGTCTGCTGAGCACCGTTGGGATTTAGGGAGAGGTCAGGCACTCAAGGATCTCTTCCCTCACAAAACCACAGTCCTGCTGCCAACACTCCTTGAACCCTTTCCCAGGACACACACAAGTGAGGAAAAGATATACACAGTGTGGCCTCCTATCAAATCCAGAGCAAGGGAGGACCTGAAGCCCCTCCAGATAAGCTCTGTCAGGGAGGAAGATAGGCATCCATTAGTTACCCCTTGTTTCCCCCATCTCAGAGGACTACTTAGAGCGGCAACACCATTTCCTCCATTTTTTCCCCTACCATGCCTTCCATCCCAAGCTCAGTTCTGACTCTGTCAAAACCTCTGGGCTATCTCAGTTGATTTGTCCTCACAGGGAACCTCCCCTGAACTCAGTCCCAGACATGAGATGGTCTCTTTTTCTACTGGAACCCAGGAGCTAACATTTACCAGGACTGAGTCCACCCTCATCGTATCTGGCTCAGAGAACCCCAGCCTTACCTACTACTGATAGCCTGGTCCCTGAGCCGAAGGTGTAGTCATAGTTGGCACATTGGAATAGAGCCACTCTAAAATAGACACTTGAGACCTGGAAATTTACTTGGAATATGTCTTACCTACAACTGTGAGCCTGGTGCCTTCTCCAAAGAAAACTGTGTTCACACAGTGACATAGGGAAAGGAAGAACACAAAGTCAAGGAATGGAGAGAGGAGGGCTCCAGCTAGTATCTAGAGGACCCTAGGACAAAGAATACCCTCTCGTACTTTTTGGGTGTTTACCATAAGAAAATTTTCAATGTTTGACTCATTGGGCCAAAAAGCATGGCAGAGTACATCCAGTGGGATCCACATCCCTTACTTGAAGAATGCTTCATAAAACTGCTCTCTATTTGAAAGTCCATCAAAGGGATGTGGACCTGGAGAGGGCAGGGTCCCAAAATCTGCGACTGCATCCATTAAGATCTGAGATACCCTGGAAAATTCTTGAGTCCTCCACAGAACTAGTAACCTCTGAGGCATCTTCCTACTGACCTTGCCCTTGTTTTGTTAGGTTTGGAATAAAGGGGTCTTCTGGAATCCTTCACTTATAGAACTACTGATGTAGTCTTCTTATGTAGGGGTTCTCTCTGCTTGGGAAGCTTTGAATTTGAGCTGGGTCTGTCCTTGTTTATGATCTTGGTCTGGCCTGTGGCAGAGGTGAAGTGGAATCATTCTATATCCAACCACATCTAGGCCTGTGTCAACTGGAGAAAATCAGAGGAACTGTGAATGTTGGGACAAGCAGAGTGGTTTTTGTAAAGATGTCCCATAAAATTGAATCACAGTGGTCCCCTGTCCCCACAATGTTATAGCTTTCTACAAAAACAGCCCCTCCCACAGGTCCAACCCTTTAGGATGAAAGAAACCACCAGAGCAGCTGCTCCATCTGTGGGGAATGGAGAACAGGGTAAATCAGGGCAGGGCGGTTCCTCCTCACGCTCCTCTTTAAGTATGTTCTTAGCTTCTTGAACTGTGTGTCTTTGCAAGGATATCTGCAGAAGAGGTTTCCCTTCCCCTTCCAATCCACCCTACAAGCTGTTGTCTTTGTAGGGAGACACCCTATTTAGAAGTATCAGCCCCCTGTCTGTCTACCCTGTTACTGTAGCCCTGCCCCAAGTCTGTGCATCACTTAGGTCACACCTTTTATCTGAGAATGAGATCACTCAGTACCCAGACACTGTCTCTTTGTTCAATCTTAAGCCTTCTAAAGTGATCAGATGGGGTCTAGAGTTCTTTGGAGAATTGACCATTAGCTATATTTTGAGAGGGCTAGTCTAGTTATAGACAGGACAGCAGAGAAGAGTGCCATGTTTACAGGAATGGGTGTTGAATGAGAGGGCATTATATGTGTTGTCAGTCATCCTGACCTCTCAGTGTTGACCTCAGAATCAGTTACATAAAGGAAGTTGGTGAAGATACCCATGAGATTGGACAAAGATAGACAGTCTGTAAAGCATTTTATACAATCACAAAGATGGCCACATGCTTTATCCTCTATTCCCTGAAGGGTAGAAACATTCTAAGTTGTTGATAAGCATTTTATTTTCCCTGCAAAAGACTGAAATTTAGCTTGCACTTGAATGGTCTGGGTATCTTTTCCCCAGATGATGCTTCCTTTTATTGCCTTACAAGCTATGACTTAAGATCCAGGTGAAGAAAAAGAGACAAATTTAGCTTTGTAACATTGACACATTTACATGGAGAAATAGAACCAAAAGGTAGATGAAAACATGGGAAAATGTTACAATTATCACCATCAGGGTTAATATCCTTAATATATGATGAACTCCTAGAAATCAGTAAGAAAATAATCTAAGAGTCCAATGTAAAGAGCAAATAGCAGATCATTCAGAGAAAAATAAATTGAAATGGTGCTCAAATTGTGAGGGAGAAACTCTTATAATGATCATCAAAGTAAAATTATATTGAAATAATACTTTTCACCAATTTGACTGACAAAGTGAGTTAGGGAAAACTATTCTATTGGGTAATTTGTGGTGAAATAAGCACTTTAACACACTGGTTGCTGATAGGAGAACAAAATGATACAGTCCTATGGGGAACAATTTGGAAGCAACTATGAAGATTACAAACACTTTGTTTTTTTCATCAAGATATCTCACCTAGGGAAATTTATCTTGTAAATACACCTTCACACAAATTAAAAATGACTATATAACATTTGCATCATTTAGAATAGCAAAAGATTGGGAAAAACTCAAGAAGTCATCAGAAAGGATCTGGATCAATACTAGATTAATAGACTGTGATATGTACACAAAATGAAATATTCAATGCTAAAAAAGGAATAGAATCTATAATACATTATTAATTGGAAGAAAGAAAGGTACAGAATTCCATAAATATATGCTATTTTTCTGAAAATTAATAAGAATTGTTACATATTTTTACTTGATTTGAATAAAGAAACACTGGAAAGATACAAAAGAAACTGATAAACATTATTACTTACTAAGGATGAGTAGAGTAGACAGAAGCAGAATAAAAGTGCAATTACATATCTCATTGCCCTCTGTATTATATTGTTTCTGTCTGGGAGCCATGTAAGAAAATAAAATATTGCTGTAAATAATATACGAAAATCTGCTACTTAAGGAAATACTTCTTGTTTAATTTACAAAGTGATTTTTTTTTTGCAGTGCTGGGGTTTGAACTCAGGGCCTACACCTTGACCTACTGCACCAGTCCTTTTCTGTGATGGGTCTTTTTTGATAGGGTCTCACAAATTATTTGCCCAGACTGGCTTTGAACCACAGTTCTTCTGATCTTTGCCTCCGCAGAAGCTAGGATGACAGGCATGAGCCACATGCGCCCAGCACAAAGTCACTTTTTAAAGAAGATCGATTTATGTAAGAAACTGCTCCAGGGTTCTGCATTTACTCAGTCTCCAGTCCCTTAGAAAGCTTGTGAAAAATGCAGAATTATAACTAATTTCTATAAGCTTTTGGGTTATGGTCTCTAAGACTGGGTTTATTAACAACCAGAGAGAAAATTCTCCTGTGTGTTTCTGTCACAGTGCCAGGCATGTGATGCACTGCTTGTCAACTGGCAGGATCAGGGCAGACAGATGCCCCAGGGAACATCAGAGTGCTAGCTGGTGTTGCCCTAAGCTGTATGCAGGACATGGCTCTTAGAATTTAGGGAAAATGATAAAGGGAAACGCTTTGTTTTCCATCCAATTAATAGTGACAGAGCTCACAATACTGTACCATAAACCTGAGTTTAAAAAGGCCGCTTGCTTTTATCATTTAGAATGTGGTAAGGTTGCTTGATTGCTTCCTTTCTTTATTGAGTCACATAGTTTATTCTGATTTATTTTCTCACGTTTTCCTGTCTTGTTCACCTTTTTGTCTATAAATAATTTATCCTTTAAGGAAAATTTTTCTTTTAATCATCTAGCTTGGGACCCTCATCTCAACTGGATTTATAAATAATTCCACTCTGTCTTGGCATCATAGTGTCTGTTGGAGTTTTTCCCAGTTTTGCTCCTCTGGAAATTGTGTCTAAATGCACACATAGCATTTTTTTCTTTCATTTTTCTTTTATTATTCATATGTGCATACAAGGATTGGTTCATTTTCCCCACTGCCCCCACCCCCTCCCTTACCACCCACTCCGCCCCCTCCCTCCCCCCCCAATACCCAGCAGAAACTATTTTGCCCTCATTTCTAATTTTGTTGTAGAGAGAGTATAAGCAATAATAGGAAGGAACAAGAGTTTTTGCTGGTTGAGATAAGGATAGCTATACAGGGCATTGACTCACATTGATTTCCTGTGCGTGGGTGTTACCTTCTAGGTTAATTCTTTTTGATCTAAACCTTTTCTCTAGTACCTGTTCCCCTTTTCCTATTGGCCTCAGTTGCTTTAAGGTATCTGCTTTAGTTTCTCTGCGTTAAGGGCAACAAATGCTAGCTAGTTTTTTAGGTGTCTTACCTATCCTCATCCCTCCCTTGTGTGCTCTCGCTTTTATCATGTAGCATTTTTTTTTTGTACAACATACATTGACTAGTTAGGCAGGAATCAGGTACAGATCATTTATCAATGTGGGCTGCAGGGGGCAGCCTTTCCTAATTTATTCTTTGACCTAAGAAACTGCAATCTGGGTTTGGCCACTTGAGGGAGTGAGTAGAATATGCAGAGTGCCGAAAGGGACTGGAGGAAGAAGCAGGGTCTTTCTCCAAGTTTGTATTGGGGCAAAGGGAAGAGATGGAGAGACACACAAATAACATTTTACACATGTAATTGTTGAGACCTTTCAAAGATGTTAGTAAGTGCATTTCAACCAATTTTCCCCCTCTATTTTCCCAGTTGGAGAACTGAAACTTGACAAGGCTAAAAAGAGTGGCCCAATGATAAAGAGGCACAGCCAAAACCACCACTCAAGATTCCTTACTTGAGTTTCATGGCTATAACACCCTACTGAGGTCACTGTCCATCAGGGAAGCCCACTCCTTGGTGTCTGTTTTCCCTGACTCCCACCAGAACTCTATTTATGAAGAGAAGACTAAAGTTACTAAACCTCTTTAACCTTCATTCTCTCCTTATCTATAAAGTAGGAAGAAAAATAACAAAAATAATACCTTTCAGTCTTGTGAAAACTAAATGAGATAATACATGCAAAGACTTACCATGCGTCTGAATACAGTTAGTAAAAATGTCAGCTACTATTATTTTTGCAGAGAGTACTGACCTAGGGTTACCTCTACCACACGGTTCTTAAGACTTAGGGTAATCAGGATGACCTGGAAAGCTTAAACTGGGTTGCTGGGTTACTAGGTTACTGGGCTCCATCCCAGAATTTCTAACTTAGTAATTCTGGAGAGGGTTTTGGCATTTGCATTTCTGCTAAGTCCCTGGTTATTCTGCCAATGCTATTCTGCAGAACCACTCTTTGAGAACCATTCTTCTGAAGACTTCCTTGTTTTCTTAGTAATTTTCCCTCTAGTTCTTTTTCATGTTCATTTGTTTCATCATTGTATACTTATTATATGCCAGGATTTTAAAATCACTGGAGATACCACATTTGAGGAAGAAAAGATCTTTCATAAGGAGCTCACAGTTGAATGTCAAGAATGGTTCATGCATTGTTTAAAAAGCATGAGTAGGATGATGATAGAAGTGGAAAGAGGTCTGGAGGACGACACAAGTAAGACCTGAGGCTAGTGGGGCCAGAACAAGTCTGGGAAGAGGAAGTGGCATCAGAAAAGACTGTGTTGCACAGAGGGTGGAAGGAATGAGATGGGGCATCCAGGCTGACAGAGCTGTAGTGTCCAAAATTACAGACTATAGTTGCATGGATGAGCCAGCAGAACTTCTATGCTATGGCAGAGAGGTGGAGAGAAACATGAGGGGGAGGAGGCATAGAAGGGGAAGAAGAAGGAAAGCCCTGTATTTCC